GGGAGTGGGAGAGGGAGAAGCAGGCCTCCCGGGGAGCAGGGAGCCCGATGCGGGGCTCGATCCCAGGACCCTGGGACCATGACCTGAGCCGAAGGCAGACGCCCAACGACTGAGCCACCCAGGCGCCCCTAAAGTCTAAAAATTTTAATGTTTTATGTATTTTGTCTGGGTAGGCTTCTAGCAGGGGCCTTCTTCAAAGGCAAATCAGTCTCATGTTCCTCTGTGAAAGGGCTCCAGGTAAGTACATAATGCTCTAGGCCCTGAGGTGTCATACTGGCCAAGATGCAGAGAGCACCTTTAGTATGACGGCCTTACCCTGAGCTTGGGAAGATCCGGAGCTACTTACCCAAGCCCGGGGATGTGTGGACATCATGCTGCTCACTTAGAACCAGCGTATCCATAGTGACACCTTGGGGACGTTGGAGACACACCAGATATCAGATACCTCCAGGTTCTTTTGCAGGCGCTACTGTTATGACAGTGATCTTTGCACCCTGCTCTGCCACTTCTCTGGGGATGCGCAGAATTCCCTCCCAAGCCCCAGCTTTGGTCTTGTCCACTGGGCAGATTTTTCCTTTCATATAAATCCCATGTTATGTGCATACCCTCTCCCCTCCTTGTCTTTTCTGTCTATGCCCCAACATCTAGCATCCTTCCTTTTCCCTTTCTTACTGTAATGCAGCTGAGATTGTGAGACAGCAGACCACCAATGTCAAGGCCCTCCCCTCAGCCCCCTTGGAGCTTGTCTCAGGCTGATATTTCCGACTTACAGCATTTTAATAGTCTTGGCATTCTCAGAAGCTTACCTGACCCATCTTTAATACAAATTATATTTCTGCCACCAAACCCTGATGTTGACAAATGTGCATTAGCAAGTAGCTGGAGGTGCCATGAGGTCTGGGTGATTTATTTCAGTACTTCTTCTAAATACTTGAACTTTCCAAAAATAGTCATACCTTTCTCTCTCTTGCCTTCTCCCTAAAACGTGCCTTTATGCTAGGTGCTATTTTATGACAAAGCAAGTAGGAGGATTCCAGGTGTTTAAAAACCCGCTGCCATCGAGCAAAAATGAGAAACCCAGGGCCGTGGTCTATTTAGCATCCTACTGGGCGTCTCCTTTTCTGTGCAGGCTGGCTACATGTCTGGGATGCTGGTTCCTGTAGGGGTCGGGATAGCCGGAGCCTTGTTCATCTTGGGAGCGCTCTACAGCATTAAGGTTATGAATCGCCGAAGGAGAAACGGCTTCAAAAGGCATAAAAGAAAGGTATGGAGCCCACAACAGCAAAACCTCATCCGCTTCAGAACACGCCTCGCTTTTCCAATTTGCTTAATAAAGCACACAGGGCTTAATGAGGCAGGCATGGTATTGACACGCCCAGTGTTTTGGATTAGCTGCTGGGCTTTGGCTGCGTGTGTTGGGGTGCCTTTTAAAGGGGCCTGTTTTTCAGTTTTGCTCTGCAGTGGAAAGGGTTTAACGCTCTTCTGTTTTTCTTTCTCCAGCAGAGAGAATTCAACAGCATGCAAGACCGAGTCATGCTCTTAGCCGACAGCTCTGAAGATGAGTTTTGAATCTGACGGGAGTTTCACTGGATATTCACCTGTGTTATTATTTTACTTTTTATTTTGGGGGCAAAAGAAGAACAGCAGCCTGCCACATCACTGCTGTTAGGCCGTCGGGCTCATTATCTGCCAGGCAGTAGATTTCTCTTGTACTGAGCAGGAAAGGCATGTTGTAGACTCACTGTAATATGCCGTGCTTGTTTTTCTTTGGTAGTGAATTTTCCACAACCATAGGCTATCACTCATCAATATGCAGCGCACGTGTTGCTCACTAGAAGTTGCTAGGTAAATATTTTGTATTTTTCCAAAGGGCCTTTTCCTTGGTTTACCTGCACTGAGCATAACGATTATTGCTGCCAAGGCGTATGTTGACTCTGAAATCGAAATCTTAAGAGAATAGCTCACGATGACTGCGTTCGGCCCACTTGAGGCTGTAGGCTTCTGGGCCATGGTACATCCTACGTTTGCATCAAAACGAGCAGCAAGTTGGAATGAAATCTTCTTTGTCAAGAAGATCTCTCGGCACATTAGGATTATGTGTAGATTTGTATCTGTCTTGCATTCTATACTCCAGTCTCCCAGTTTTATTATTTTGCATCTTCTGTCTTATTCTCATTCTTGGCAGGAAAAAGAAATGCACCAGAAATAACGCATTAAATGGACTCTCAGTCTTAATGTAAACTTGCTTTCTTAAATAGTGTAATTGAATCTGACAGACATATCCATAGATGCTTACATGTTTATCAATAAGAGGTGTTCTTTTTATGTATCATTTGACTTTGCAAGAAGAAATGAGGAAGAAATCAAGAAGAAAGTGAGGCAGGTAAGCTCTCAGAGCATTTCTATCTGCCATTCACTATTGTGAATTATTCAGAGCATTGCTTTGCTACTTCTGGGGGCTTGGCCATGGAATGATGGGGCCACCGTTGGTTCTTATTTGGCTTTATTAGAAAATGGACATCCTGTGGTAGATGCAGCCTCAGTGGCCAGAGTCCCAGCCTCTCTCAGGGCATTCCCTTTTGGGGATGTTGGCCTATGCTAGATCATTTCTCATTTCTTTTGGAGTGTAATTCCTTGCCCTATCTTTTGAATCTGAGTATTTGAGTTGAATTTTTAGGTAAAGACATGGCTCATTTGCATGGAAGACTAAAGGTTCCTGGTAACACTGTCCTTACTGCTTGACACATAGAAAACTTGTTCACAACTATGGGAGGCTGCTCTGCTGTATTCGAGGCAAGCTGCACAGTTATTCCTCAGAGCTACTGTGTGGGGTAGGACAGATGTTTTTGTTCTCTCATTTGACTGGAGACAGAACTGAAGCAGAGAAGGGACATGATTATCCAAAATTATCTCCAGGAACAATCAGGACAAGAACCCACTTGGACTCAAAACCGTGTATCCCGATCATCATTCAATGCCCTTCCACATACTTTGCAGGAAGCAGTGACATTTCAGAGTCCTTCTTTAAAACCAAGATTCTAAGGAAATACAGGAGACCCTTGAACAACATGGGACTGTGCTGCATGGGTCCACTTCTACGTGGATTTTTTTCAAGACAGTACAGTACTGTAAACATGTTTTCTCTTCCTTAGGATTTTCTTAACATTTTCTCTTCTCTTGCTGACTGATTGTAAGAATACAGTATATAAAACATTTTATATGTGAAATATATGTTCATTGGCTGTTTATTTTACCAGTAAGGCTTCTGGTCAATAGTAGGCTATTAGTAGAGGTTTTGGAGAGTCAGAAGTTATACATGGATTTTCAACTGTGCAGCGGGGTTTGCACCCTGAACCCCTGTGTTGTTCAAGAGTCAACTGTAGTTGGTTGGCCAAGGACCATTTCACATGAATTCCTGTCTTTGTTAAATGAACGATGCCTTACAAACTTCCCTCGTACACAAGTTCTTTTCCTCTCCCACCTCACGATTTCCTTCACAACCACATAAATTTAAGTATCCCTCTAGAGAACTAATAGAGAAACCTTTCTAGAATCCATTCGTGAGTGATAGCTAGCTTACAAGAATGTTTTCATCAAATAATTTTTTTTTTTTTTTTTGCCAAGAGATGTAAGCAAATGTGTGAAATTGGTCAGGAGAAAATGAGAAGCTATATACAATCAAATAGAAGTTAACAATTGATAAGTAAGCTCACGGTTAGGTTTTAAAAATAAAATTCAGAACCATGACGCTCAGAAGTAATTTGTAATTTCACGAGCAGAGACATCCTGCTATTGCATAGGGTATGTTTGCCTTTTTTTAGAGCAGCCCCTTGCTGTGAGTGTTCCTAAGGTTAGGGGGAGGTGGGCATGATGTGGTTTCTGTATTCTTGACAAGCTATTGATAGCAAACACCCAATAGGCCATTTCATTCAGCAACACATGGGCGAAGCTGATGGCTATTAATGCCTTGGGCTACTCATAGTCTGTAGTTTGAACTAGATCATGCCTAAGAGGTTGATCTTTCAAACTATAGAGTGATAAGGTCACAAATAATGGACACGTATTTTAATTTATTCCAGAAGGCTATGGGGATGACGTGTGTGCATTTAGGCCTCAGCAGAAATGGCTCTGTAGTCCTTTTTGGGACAGGTGACTATTACAAGAAGAAGAGATGACTTAGATCACAGTGGAGTTCTATACAAACCCATTTCAACACTGGGTTGGTGGAAGGTTCTGGGATGTGTTTATTTTGGCCATTTTCCTCCCTGCCAGTGATTGTGGAACACTGATTTTCAGTGGTTGGCTGAAGTTATTCAGAGGAAAGGAAAAGGTTGTCATGTTCTAAACAGAACCCGAGATTAGGGGTGCTGCCACCAGAGGAGGGCGCTGAGCTAGTGGTTATACCGTAGTCCGATTAAAAGTAGTAAGTCAGGCACCAGGTTTACCTAAAATAAGTCATTTGTCTGCTTATATTTGCACATTAAAAATAAAAAGGCAACTCTTGATTCTAACAACTAAGCTTAAACCATTCAGCAGCACAACAAGGAAAGCTGTCTGGCAAGGGGTGCTGTTAGCTGCAAGGTTCAGTTGCTAACACCTTCCTTTCTGAACCATATTTACCCCCTCAGACCTGCATGTGTCCCAGTGCAGGGGCAGGAGAGGTGGAGGCAGTGTTCCCCAGACTCTGGCTCCTAAGAATCATACTCGTGCAACACACAGATTCCAAGGCCCTGCCCCAGACCCAATGAGTCAGAATCTCCAGGGGAGGACTTTGGGATTCTTGTGCCCAGGAGTTAGAGAACAGAGCTGGGAGGGCATCTATCTAGAGAACAGCTTCCTTATTAAAGACAAGGGAGAACAGGTCCCTTGTGGAAGAAACCCTTCCCTAGTCAGCTATCCAATAAATCACACCTGCCATGGTGGAGAAAGGAAAACAAAAGGAAAGAGTAAAGTGTAGAAGTTTCTAGAAAGAAAATGGAATGCTGGGTCAGAGAGAAAAGCGTTCCTCCCATGTCCCTGATGCCTTTTTCTCTAATCAGAAGATAGTACTTTTCTTTAAACCTCTTCAGATTTTCCTCTCCCGTAAGTTGCTTCTTTCAGTAGCTGCTGGCTTAATTTATATGCAGTATTTGGAGTTAATTAGTATCCCAGGGAAACAGATTCCCTTAGCAATGCTTTAGCCTTGGCTTCAGCTCATAAATTGCCTCAGATACAGTCTTCCAGAAACATTTCTTAAAGTACCTGCATCTCACATAGGTCAGTAGTGTTGTGGGGAAAATTTTAGAGCACCGTTTTAGAACATATTTAAAGTAGCTTTAGCATGGTCAGTCAAAGCTTATTCTTTATTTCGTTATTTTTTTTTAAAGGCTAAGACTTAAAAGTCAAACGTTACAGAGATATCAGAAAATGATGTAGAGCAACAAAGAACATTCTGAATGCCTGGTGCTTCTCTCCATGCTCCTCCAGATATCTCCTTCATGTGGAAATCCAGATGAAACCCCTTATTTGGAATCATATCCACATCTTGGGGAGAGAAGCCTCAAATCATCCACGGGCATCATGATTTCTGTGGATATGAATAATCAGTGTTTCTATCAGCTGCCAAAAAGCAGCTTTCGGGAGTAAGGTATATTGTCTGGCACAAGTTTTTAGCTGCGTGGCCTTTTGGCAAGATAGGCTTTGTTATGACTACAGGGAAATCTGTTGAAAAAGAAGTGTCTACTTTTTAGGGTATGTGAAGGTATGGTTGCAAGGGAAGAAGTGTGGGCAGAAGAAGGAAGAAAAATCTTGATGCAATGCAGATGTAAACATGGCACAAAACGCTGGCATGTGCTGGAGGAGTCCAACGTTCTGAGTGGACTGATGCTTGGAAAAATGATAAAGAGAAGCAAGGAGAAAAAGGCATATGAGGTAGACCATTGGCGGGGGAAGGGGCCCTAAATCTAAATTTGTTTTCATCCTCTCCCTCACAGAAAATTCTACACCAGGTAGAATGGACATGAGTGGGAGGGGATTGAAGCCTGAGACTGAGGAGACCAAAGGAGCTTCGTTGCCTTAAGTAAGCTTAAGCTCAGTTAAATATCTTTCTTAATTACACTGAGTTCAAATAAGTGAATATAAATCTCTAGAAATAGGAAATCATTTGAAAACAAAATAATAGTGCTGACCTAATAAAAGCCCCTTATTTGTACGTTTAGCACCCCCCATAAGACACAGACCTTTCTGGGGTCTGTTTGCTCTGCTAATGATCAATTTTGGTAGCCAACATAGCTGGAAACATAATTCTATTGCTTAAGTTCTACATGCGACAAAAATAATCAGCATTTATTTTGTAAACCACTGTTAGCCATACAAATGCTTTGGGATTACCCTATATTGGGTAATCGATGCATCTAATTCCCTATTAATTAGCTTAAATTTCTACTATGTGTATATAGGATAAAGGAGAGGAAAGAAGAGAGGAAGGAAGGAAGGAAGGAAGGAAGGAAGGAAGGAAGGAAGGGAGGAAGGAAGGTAGGAAGGAAGGAGGGAAGGAAGGAAGAAATTTCCTCCAGGAAACAGCAGTAAAATTGCTGGGTCTACTAGGGAGGTGAGGGTTGGGGTTGGGGGGACACATGCAGTGCAAAATATTAGGCTGATCCTAAAGAGTCTGCTTGGTTATATCAAGGAATTAGGACTTTATTTTGAGGGCGTTTAGAGGCATGCAAAGATCTTATGCTGGGAAGTGGTGCAGTCAGGGCTGAGTTCATGGGAAGACTGGATTGGCAAGGTTAAAGTAGAGTCAGGGAAACCAGTCATGGGCTGGTGCTGCAGTGTTGGTGAGAGGTGACTGGGACCTGGACCAAGGCTGCAGGAGTGAATGGAGGGGGAGGATGGCCCCCAGAGGCGTTCAGGGCAGGGAAGCAGAAGGACTCGGGGGTTAATTAGATGTTGAAATGAGGGAAAAGACAGTGGTTAAAGCTGACCGTGGTCATGGCACTTTTGAGGCTCTCCAGAAATCATGGAGTCTCATGTCCTGGCTTCTGGAGGACTGACCCTATGTTATCCCAGCATAGCCAGCCTGAGAGAAACTAACTTACATGCTGCCAAAAATGTGTAGGCAACTTTCACTTTCTACATAGTGTATGTAAGTACATGGTCATTCTCTGTAACTTTTAATAGAGGTTCCAAAGTAATAACTTTAATAAAACTTAAATGAAACATCTGGGAAAACCCTCCAAATACCTTTAAGTGATTATATTACTTTGGTTAAGCCCTAAGTATGAATTACTATCTAGTA